CCCCTGGCTAGGCCGGTGCTGGGAGGGCGCTCTGGCAGGGCCGTGCCCCGGTGGGACAGAGGAAAGCGCTGTCTGTCCCAAATCTTGCGCTTCTGAAAGCGAACGCCCTTCCCGAGTATGGCAGCGAAGCAGACTGCCTGATCCCCGAGTTAGGCGGGAAGCGTTATCCCCCAGGGAGCAGCCTGCGCCTAGGATGCAGGCGCACACAACAGCTAGCAGCAGAACGACCTCATCCGTGAATTTTAATTAGTAGCTTGCTTATATTGTTTGTTACCACCGCACGTGCAAATGCATGCCAGCATCGCATTTGGTGCAGTGTCTGTGAAATTCCTATCGAGTTGTGTTACTCTCCAGCGGAACTTGCATCCCATGTTGCTTGCCAGAACGAGGCTTCTGATTCACTTTTATCTGCCTTTGCATGTGGTTTTGCTAAGTGAAAACAGGGAGCCAAAGACAACCGCTTCGTTGTTCAGAGAATCTGTAAGAGGTTTCTTGTTGCAGGAATTTCTGAAGGCTGATAATTTAACAATTCTTCTTAAACTCGTTGGCAGAGTTCTGCAGAGAAGCAACAGTTGTTAGACAGAATGTTCTTAAGTAAATGACACTGCAGTTCTTTTGGTCATCTGACAGTCATTAAAAAAAAAGTTATGAATGATCATAAGCTAATCATTGAAATCCTAGGACTGATCACTGAAATAGTACTTACTGAATGAGTTGTTTCCAAAGGAGTCTTTGATCTAATGCCAGTCTTAGAAAAGGCGTTCTATAACCTAATCTAGATGCAAGTTTTTTAGGGGCAAGGCCAGTTAAACATATTGGTTCCCCTGAAACTTGGTAACTTCTCTAACGTGATTATACTAGGCTATTAGTATTCCTGAAACTGCCCTGCATTAGCTCAAAGTTGTTTTCACTTCCTTTGGTATAGCTGTGGCCACCAGTTAAATCGCTCTTAAATTCTCCAAATGATATTTTGTTTATTTTCTTTTTTCTTTCTCTCAGATCTCCCTTTGAGAGCCTTCCTCTCACATTAGCTCAGTTCCTCTTTCTCATAGGACAAGCCTCCACTGTATCATGACCAGTAGCCATCCTATCTCAGTGTGCTGCCTCTCTCAAGGATTAACAGGCTTTATCAAGATGAGCAGAAGCACACAGAACGTCTAACTTAATGTTAGAGTAATCAATTTTATTCCATGTTTTATAAAACCACTCCACTGAAGCCCAGGAGGAAAAGAGAAACCGATGCCTTAAACTTTTCCTCAGCTGTCATTTCATTCGTTGGGGGGGAACAAGCAAACAGTGGATATGGCAGACTTTCGTTCTCTCCTCTTGGGAAACTCCATAGAGTTACCATGTTGTGCGAACTGTATTTAAAAACAAAACAAAAAAAAAAACCAGAAAAACAGCTAGTGGCCTGAGCTACCAAAACTATTGCTTGCAAGACTATTATGGTAGCTCAGCATCTAGGTCAGAGATTTAAATGTTATAAGTAATCTGTAAGTGTACAGCAGTCTCTGTAGAAGTATTTACAGTGCAAAATGAAAGGGTTGGGAAACTGAAAGCTACTGACTGACAGGGCTATTTTTCTGACTCTCCAGCTGATGTGAATGGCCCCTATCCAGAGAATCATAAAGGAAAAAATTCCCAGTCTCTTTCTTTAGCCTCCTGGTCTCTTGCTGTCCTTTTGTGTAGATTCTGTGCATTGTCGTTGGCTGAAATAAGTAAGCGCAGCAAACTACTAAACCTGTCTTGTACCAGGACTAGAATAGAGATTCTTGCACTAATTCCATTTCCACTCCAGAAGATGCTCAAAACAAAACAAAACAATCCCTCCACCATCACCCCGCTACACACACATGCAAAAAGCAAGGCACGGAATGTCTAGACACTGCAGAGTACAGTCAGTGTGCTAATTTAACTTGACTGTGGACTTTTCTGGTCTTCCAGTAGATGATAATTTGTGATATAAGTGTAGTCTTGCTCACTAGAATACACACATTCAGCTCGGTGTATAGGAAGCTGTTACACAACTCACTGTGTGAGCTGATAGGATTCTAGAAAACCAGTATGTTCTCTGCATGCAGAAGTCAGAATCCTTGCCTGTTTATTAATTAAATCGTATTGCAGCTTTAGCTGAGCTTTCACTGTTGTAAGTTATTGGGCATGACTTTAAAAGAAGTGGCCAGTCTAGAAGTCTGATGTTTCCTTTGTAACATGTTTCATCAACTGAAATGGCCTGCTCCAGGCTGAAAGCAGAAATTACACCAGCAGGATGTAATTGAATTGGAAGTAGCTCTTGGTAACGTCCGGTATTGGGTATTTCAACTTAATGTGGTTCTACAGGCAGCTGAATCGAGTTTATCCTTTTTGGCCTTGCCTGTCTCACCACTTGGAAGCCTAGGATATGATTTCATAATCAGTTTAAACAGTCAGACATTCTACTGCTGTCAGAAGTGGTGCCCCCAGTATCTCTTTAGCAATACTAACAATTGTGCAGCTGTAGAATAAAACAGATCAGCTGACCAAAAATAATATTGGGGGGTGTGAGGAAAGATAAAAAGAGGTAGATACTTTTCAGGTGGATTAACAGTTTGATGCAACTGCGCGATCATAGTGCCTACACAAGGGAAACTGTGGAAATACACAGGGGATGTAGGAGGAGGAGGGCTAGAATCTCTCTTCTGGCTACAGCGTGATTTCAACTTGATGCAAGCTAACTATGAAGCATCACCATTAGTATCTGCTGTTCTCAAAAGATTAAATTTGTCCCAGTATTCCAATAAGTCTTGGCTATTGTGAGTAGCTAAACTCAAATTATTTTTTAGACTGACAGCAACCCTCAACTTTTTCTTAATTTTTTTTTTTCTTTTTAAGAAAGCAGTAATTTAAGTAACTCTAGAATATGTGACAGTAACAACACAGCTTAGTAATAGTAAGGTTATTCTGCAGCACTGGTAGTCCAAATTACACAAATTGCAAGGTTTATTGAAATAAGCCACTATGTTTGTTGGTGTAATAAGATTGAGGAAGAGGAATACAAAAGCTTTAGCCACGCAGACTTGTTTTCAGGATATGTATGCCTCAAACCTTCTGTCTTTTTCTCATTTGAAACACTTACTCTAGTAAGCTATATCAAGTCTAAATGGGGATGTTTAAAATGCATACTTTGCTCTAAATGCAAAGTCTAAGTGTTGTCATGTAAGCCTGAGTTAAGCAAAACGTTGAGAGAAATCCTTCTTTGTGGGGAGCTAGAAGAATGTCTTCAGGAAGGAAGAACATACTGGAACTTGTCCTACTCTCTTACTTTGTGATCTCTTTATCTTCAGCTGCTCAGATAAAGAATTTGATGAGCCAGCTGGGAACCAAGCAGGATTCCAGCAAGCTGCAGGAAAACTTGTAAGTATTAACTCAGCTAACACTTGTGTAGGTTCTTTATTTCTCCGTCTAAATTGGATTACTTGCTTTGGGGACATGCTTTACTGGATAAGTTTAGTTTAGTCCTACAAAACAAAATGACTAGATGGGTAAAGTAGTTTACTAGAGGTGCTGAGGTGTTTTTGCAGAACTGTGGAAAAGCCAGTCAAAGCTGCTTGATAGGAATGATTAGAAATGGTGTAGATTATCTTTTAAAAAAAAAAAAAAAGGGGGGGGGTTAATGCATGCCTGGTGTACTATTCTTATCTGTACTCTGAAAACCAGTCTTATTTTAGTAGCTTCACTTGTGATTTGGAAGGAATGAGTGCCATACTATGTACTTGGCCTTGACACAGGAGGAAAAAGGGAAAACAGCAGGGAGGACCTATATCTCATGAAAAAGTAGCTTGTAGTACAGAAGGATTTGGGTATTAGAAAGACTAGCAATTTTGTATGGCAGCCAAATTGCCAAGTGTAACCTCAGGCAAGAATATGCTCTTGGGACACAATGTAGAAGAAATTTGAACTGCACAGTCCAAGCTGACCCTTAGACTAGACAGGGAGTCTGTATGTCTGTGCCTCTTGTATATACTTGAAAAGCATAAATAGCAAAGAATGAGAGAAATAATTTCTGGAAAACTAAAAGGAAACTTGTCAGTCAGTCATGCAACATCCCCATGTTTTTTTTTTTTATAATAGTGATTTTTTTTTTTGGATGAGCTCATAACTTACATTTATAGGATGTGATCAGAACCCATTGGGAGAGAAAGGAATTAGCTTGCCAGAGCTGTTTGATTGACTTGACCTGGATTTAATTGGTAGATTAAAGAAAAAGTCACTGGCAGCCAAATGAATGTGTTTCCAGTTAATTTCATTACAGAGACATGGCCCCTTCTTTAAGGGGAGAGTGGTTGCACTCAATAAATTGTCAGATGCTATAGAAATTAATACGAAAATGCGTGGGTGGCTTATTCAGCTCTCATATTACGGGTGAACTTATACAGCAAGGTAACCTGAATACTTAGATTTGTGTATCTATTGGGCTGAATGGATGGCTTTCATTCAAGCATCTTGCACCCCATTAAACACCAAAAATCTTGATTCTTGCTTTAGTATTTTGTTGCAGGAAGATTTTGTGTCTTCCTGGTTTACACTGTTAGTTTTTCTGTTATGTTATTAGGGTTTTTTAAAGTTCTTTGCGATCTCTGAGATCTCCATATTTTTATCAAACGTAAATTTGACCAATGCAGTTAGAGGTTGTCAAGTGAGCGATCAGATACCAACTGGTAACATAAACAATTTGCCCTAGAAAGTGATTATGTTCACTGAATGAAGTTATCATTGCCTCCTTTTAATTTCTCTCTTATGCTATAGAAGAGAAATATCTTTTAACTACTACATTATACCGGTTAGCAGGGAGTATAGAAATACTTTGGATTCCTTTTTAAGGTAGGATAGTGTCAAATTGATGGTAAAAGTACATCTCCGTTCCGTTTTTCCCTATTCATCTTTAGTACGGAGAGGTGATCCCTGCTGTGTAATAGCGTTTCAGGTGTTTGTTCAGGAAGGGTCCTTAGATTTTTATCAACTGAAGAATTTGACTTCAACAATGTCTAGGAATTTCTTAAACTCCTACATAGTGCCTTAAGGCATGGATGACATTTCTGGCATAAAACTGACTCTTATGTGCGTCTAGGGTTTTTTCTTTTTTCTTTTTTTCCCAACATTGGAGAATGAAAAACCTGGAAGGTGTGTGATTTCAGAACCCCTAATTGGTCATTATTGTGAGAACTGAATTGCTCAGAGACTGCTTTGGGAGAGAACCTTGTGTAACTCTTTCTGAACCCTTATTTTAGACAACAGCTACAGCATTCTGCCAACCGACTTGCTAAAGAGACCAATGAATATCTAAAGGAACTGGGGTCTCTGCCACTTCCTCTATCCGCTTCTGAACAGGTATGTGCACAGAATTCATCTGGAGGTTTTTTTAAAGTCACTCGTTTTATGGATGTAGCTTAGAGCACAGCCTCATAAAGCTTGAATATTGGCACAGCTGAAGGGACAGTAGCCTTTCACGATGGAGTAAAAGCTATTAGAGAAGTGGGAAGACTCATTAAACTGATGACATCCTGACCTCTTCTGTGACACTGGGAAAACGGCTTAACCTTTGCCAGCTGCAAAATGGGTATAAAACTTAACTTGCATATGAATCAGAAGCCCTATATGTTTGAGGAGAGCTAAGTATGCAATTCTGTATTTCCGAGTACGTTTCTGAAAAAATCTTGTTTATGAAGTGTCTAATCATGTAAGGCAATGTTTTAGGATAAGAACATAGAGCAAACTACATGTCAATGTGAAGTGTGATCCTGCCAAATAGCTTCCACTTGCCTGTCATTTATTAGCTGGAGGAAAAAAGCTGACTCGCCTTGCTCAGCTGAATAGTCTTTCATTTTCCCCCTTCCTATGGGAAAAGGAAGGGACAGTCCTCTGCTGTTGGAGTTTTCTTGCCTCTGCTTTAAGTCACTGCTGTGTGTTTTTGTGATATTATGTAAATCAATGTTGTTATGGGATGATCTTTGGATCTGGGTCAGCAGTTGTTGCTTTAGTCTAATCCTATATTTAAAGGTTTAAATGCTGGCTGTAAGCATGGCCATGTTTTGGCTGTTTGTTCAGCAAGTATTTCTCAGTTAATCTCCCTCTGGTGAGCAAAATGCTATCATGTGCATATCACTGAATGTGGCAGTGACTTATGAAGCCTGTTGCACAGTCTGTCCAAAATCTGCAGAACTTGCATGAGCATGTTGAAGATCTCATCTGGCAGAGAGGCAGTTGCTTCCACACAACTCTGATTAAAAACTGCAGTATATTATAAGACTGCTATGGCAAGCAGTCTTATAAAATGTGTTTTCGAATAGGTTTTTTTCCCATATATTTCCTTGGAAAGGCTGCTCAATTGATATGAACTTGCTGAAGGATAAAAATGCCGGGTTCCCTCTGTTGTGAGAGGGCTGTTGGGAATCTCTCTAGAGGAAAGCATAGGAATTGGCACTAGAATTAAATGTCTTTGAGGCAAGCTTTTTCAGAACTTGCTGTTTCCATTAACTGGGATGTCAGAATGCTAAAAGGAGACGTTCTAGGCAAGCTAAATCAGTTGATACTGTAAAACGAGGACAACCAGGGACATTACACTGATGCATGTGGAGAACAGGCAAATTGAAATGGATGTCAAGAGTACGAGAGGATGTTCTCCAAACAACTAGTAGCAGGCTTGTGGTGTGGTATGGCTGAGAGAGAGCCCCCAAAGCCAGGGGTAATGGATGTTAGCCCTGGAATTTTGGGACTCTTTACTCTTAAAAGTTGCTGAGTTGCTGTACTGTAGGTTTCCTACGTTCATAAGAAAGTTAAGGGGACTGTCGGAGGAAGGAGAATGGAGTGGAGAGAACAGGTGAAGGATTAATAGGTTGGCTAAACGGGGGAATGGAGGGGAAGGCACCATAGGTATCCAAAAGGTACGTAAGTAAATGTGATAAATTACTTTTATTCAGATGCCATTCCAGTAATAGTTTAGAAGGCCCCCCTACTCCAAACTTAAAACCAAACTGCATCTAGAGAACTTTGTTGCTCAAAGCTATTCTTCAGTGCACAAGGCGTAGAGCATTTGGTATAACTAATGAAAATTTGGTGGGGTTTTTTTTCCCTCCAGTCCCCTAGAATGCTGGAACCAAGAGATCTTCTGAATGTCAGCTGGGTTTTTTGGGGTTTGTTTTGGTTTTTGTTTCTTTGTTTGCTTGCTTTTGAGAGAGAGGGAGTGTCTGGACAATTACATTAACATGAACAGGAATATCTGAACACTTGTTTTTGTTTTAATTCTTTAGCGCCAACAGAGGCTTCAGAAAGAACGTTTAATGAATGACTTCTCTGCAGCCTTAAATAACTTCCAAGCAATACAGAGGCGAGTCTCAGAGAAGGAGAAAGAGACTGTAGCAAGGGCGAGAGCTGGCTCCCGCATCTCTGTAAGTATTTATGGGAATTTTGTAGCGATGTAGTGAATTACAAGTCTTCTCTGAGATCTTTTACTTGCCTACCAACTTTGTAGCTATCTGCTGACCCGTTACTGGGTACAGATGGGGTCGTGGTGCATTAATTTTACTAATCCAGATGCTGTAAGCACTGGACACGTTTCAATGTGCTGCTTGTCAGTGTTAGTAGAGGAGGGAATCCTGGCAGTTGCAAATCTTATGGATGACAGAAGAGAGGTAGTCAAAGTAATAGCTAACAGCAAAGTATTGCAAGCTGTTCTTTGACAGATGTCAGCCCTAGGCTTTACAACTTAGGAGGTCAGTTGGAAGTTTACCGTACCTGAGGCAACATCTGAAGTCTCACACTATCTTTTTTTTATTTATTTTCTTACAGCTCCTGTCCTGTTAGTAATCCTAATGTACATTCAAACATTCTTCCTGTTCTGTTTTGGCCAACCCCTGTGGCTACTAAGAATTCATAATAAAAAGGCTAGTGAAAGCATTTCTCTCCCCTTGCCTTGGGGCTTTGTGTTAAGTACACATTCTTAATTTCCACAAAGGAACACAGTTATTGCTCAGATTACACTCCTAGGAATTATGTCTAGTTAAAGAATCATAAGAACTAAGTGTGCGGTTTGTGGGTTTTCTTGTTTGTTTTTTACACATAGAGAAAGGAAGCACCAAACAATGACAAGTGATCTGAGTAAAGAGACTAGCTCTTCTAGCTCTCACCTGCTTCTGATTTGCAGAGATATGTAAATTAAAGTGACAGTGGCATTCTCAAAGAATTCTCTGCACAGTATGCTCCTATGTCTTCACGATGCTGCTATTGATTTTGCTAGTTGTGCTAGTAGTCTGCAAGACTAATAACACTTTTTTTCTTTTTCTAGGCTGATGAGCGATTCAGAGAAGAACAGCTGGTCTCATTTGATAGGTAACAAGTACTTGCACTCCTGATGTGCACATAATCACACTTACCTACCTATATCTTGCCACAATAATTTTAGTTATATTAATGTAACTCAGGGCAAGGCTTCTTTAGCTGAATGCAAAGCAAAAGATTGGAAATGCAATTATTACAGTACTTGTAATAATATACAATGTAAAAAATGAACTGCACACAGCACTATTTTCCTGGGCATTTCTAACGTTCCCTGACAGACTAACCACAGAACACGCCCAACAAGCCAGCATTACTTTAACGTGTCAGCCAGTGGTGGGGCTTATGCAGTAATTGTGCTGCTGCACAGAAGTTAGGTTGAAAAATAGTACATCAACTATATGATGCGCATAAAGCGAACTCAAGGCACCCCAAAAGTATCTCTGACTACTGTGTCTGCTTCTCCTGTACATACGTCTGAGAAATCCTGGGTGTGAAACATGTCGCCCTATGTGTATATACCCTTTAATTTTCTAAATCAAGAGTCCGAGCCTCCATGTCTCATCCATTCACCCTTTTCCTCCAAATTGAGCTTTATCTGCTCAGCTTCTTGTGGTGCACCCCCCCCACCCCCCTGGAGCCCCATGCCTCCATATACTGAATCAGAAGTGAAAACAGCATGCTGCTGGGTTGTACAGATGCTGTGATGAGTTTGAAGGCCTTGCTTCCCAAAGCAAGGGGAGCCCAGTAGGTACTTACTGATGCAGAGGCTCTTAGCCTCTTTGAAAGGTAGAGGGGCACACAGCAGTTGCTCCTCGTTTGACATTGCTCTTGCGTGCTCCATGTCAGAAACTTTTGCCTCAAATATTTGAAAACTCTACTGTCATCTCAGAGCTGAGTTTCTGGATGTGTCAGCTGTTTCTGACATCTAGCTTATCTTCATTTCTTCTGGCACTTGGAGCCTTTGAAACTTGCTATTTGGTGGTATATACTCAACAGACATATTGTAACCTTATAGTGCTTTCCAGTACACTTCCCTTTGTTAAGAAGAGGATGACATTATCCTTGAAGAATTTCTTAATGCTAAACATGTAGGTAACCTTGTGTTATAGGTACTTTGCTGTCATCTGTGTGTAACTTGTGCAGTGATTTTGAAATTGCTGAGCTCCAAATGCCAGAGAGCAAGAGAGAATCTTTGCATCTGTATTCCTATCTGCTGTTATTTCAGTCTGATAGCTGATAGAAAGCAGCCTGCGAGCACAACACTATCAAGACTTTCACCCGTGATTCCCCCTTTCTTAGGGGAACAGTGAGAGGGAAGAAAGATGTTGGCATGTTTAAAAATTAAAAAAAAAAAAAAAAGGAGGAAAAAATCCCACAGGAATAGTGAGGTTTCTTTTATAATGCTATACATAATACTCATATCTTAGAGTATCCTGTGCATGGGCTGCTTTCCAGTTTCTTCACTGAGCTGTTAGAATAACCTTGTGCAAGACCTGCTTTTCCTAATCTGTCCTTATTTTTCATTTGTTCTGATTGTAACTGTTGCCACTAATTAGTCTCATCCCTGTACACAGTTGCAATACGGGGGGGAGGTGGTGGGTGGGGGGGGGGGGGGGGGGGGGGGGGGAAGTTCCTCCGGTAGGAAATTTTTCAAGTTTAGCTTATTGGCACTTAAGTATAAAAAGGATTTGGAAATATCTACCCTCAGAGAAACAGGCTCTTACTTTCTTCTTTTTTCTTTCTAGTGGTGAAGACTGGAATCAAATGCAGTCTCAGGAAGAAGATGTGGCAATAACTGAACAAGACCTTGAACTTATTAAAGAGAGAGAAACAGCAATCAGGCAATTAGAGGTGAACAGGAGATCCTGCACAGTAAACAGTGCTAGGAGCTAAACTAAAGACATCACAGAGTGCTAGCTAATGGGATGGGCTAAAGAAATCTGAGAGGAAAAAAGTTGCTTGTAGAGAGGCTTGATGCTGAATTCTTTCTCCCCACTCCTTTTGAAGGCTAGGTACATTTTCATTCAGAGTTGATTCATGATCCCTTGGAGATGTAGGAGCAATTCATGTGAAAGTGTTCATCTCAATTCCATGCTGTGCTAATGGCTAGTGTGCTGAAACAAACACTTGAGTAGCAGGAATATTGTAGGCTCCTGTGTTTATGCTACTATCTATGGAGCTGAGGATTGTAACCTCAGTCAGTGAATGATGGTATCTGCTCAATTATTTTGAGCAATGGCTGTAAGAGATGCTAAGGATTAGATTTAGCAAAATTGTAATCGGTGGTTGTTACAACTTGTCAAACTCTTGCCTTCAGGCAGACATTTTGGATGTCAATCAAATATTTAAGGATTTAGCCATGATGATTCATGACCAAGGAGATATGATTGGTAAGTACATATGGATAACAGAAAGTTTGTTTAGCTCAATTACATATTCTGTCTGATTCAATTCTCAAATATTTTGTATAAAAGTGATCATATCACATATCTAATTTATAACACAGAAGCTCTGAATTCTCTTACAATGAGTTCTCTTATTTTTCTGTAGACAGCATAGAGGCAAATGTGGAAAGTGCAGAAGTCCATGTGGAAAGAGCCAGTGAGCAGTTACAGAGAGCTGCCTATTATCAGGTAAATTCTGTATGCTTTGTATTAATGTCAACATACACTTGTGCAACATGGTACAGGCATAACAAGACATATAATGAGGACTGCAGCATGCCAAACAAGTTCTTAAAAACAGCTTATGCAAGCTGGCACTTCCACAAAGCTGTACTCTAAGGAATAAATAAAGCGCTTGAGTGAGAAACACAGCATTGAAATTAGCCCTCTAACGCAGAGGATATGCCGTCATTTTGTTCCTTCACGTAGATGTGCTCAATGAGTTTAAGTGCCTAGCTTTGCCGTTCTCGGAAGGTAGCGAAACAGTTAAACGAGAATAAATTCTCATGATGTACCCATCTTGTAAATATGCTGGTCAAGACAATACTCTACAGAACTTTGTGTAAACACGGATGTGAAAAAAATCCATATACAAACTTGGGCAGTTTCTGCTCACCAGGATTTGCAGGACCTTTCTGACTGCTCAGTTCCCGTTCCTTGGTCTGTCCTAAGTCCCATCAACTCTGTAAGGAGCAGTGACAGCCACTGCAAACTTCTTTGTTTATTATATTTAGCGCTTTCTTGTAGGCTCCTTTCCTGATTGTCCTTGGGGGGTTTAGATTCTATGAAAGAATGGGGGTGCTCTGTCAGTCAGTCAGTTCAGTATAGAGTTTTACTGCTGGTACCTCAGGACAATATACCAGATAGGAAACTGGACTTCCTCAAGCTGTTAAGTGAGGAGATATTGGAAGGCAATAAAACTCCTGTGCTGTTTAGCTGCAGGGAGGGGAAAGTAGCCTTTGCCAGCTGCCAGGATATAGTATCATTTTCTCTTTCCACGGGTTCCATTATAAAGTGAATCTTCAAGGTATGATAAAGCCAAGTCTGGCAGATTTTGGACATGTATTGGACATATTCTTCTGGGCAGAGGAGGTTTTATATAACTAACCTCAAATCCTTAGATAAAAGTATTCTGTATATATGGACAGGTTGTAGCTTTCTGTGATGATTAAAAGTGATCGAAACTGTAAAATCCAAGTACCATAACTGTTTATCAAAGCTTTTAAACTGTAGAAATGCAATACAATCTCCATGCCAACTCCAGGTGACCAAGGAGAGATTATATCAGGGAACTAGTTAGCAGTTATTACTTGTCTTAGCTGGAAAATCCAAATAGCTAGAGGTAGTTAGTTTTCCTCTAGCTCTGGTGGCCTACCTTAGGTATGAAAAGCATATGCTAGATGCTGTCAGGTTCTCTTTTTATAGGCAATTTGAGTGAAACTTGTATTTTCCTTGAGAGAAGCGAGACTTGACACATTTTTGACTTAACTGCACCTCTTAGACTATGCTGAAACTGAAAACAGCTAGCTATAAAATCATGCTGTTTAAAGAATGCTTAAGCCGTGTAGTCTGTACACTCCTCTTGAATAAGGATGGGTACAGAGTGCTCTAATCTATCCTCTTGTCCTCTGTTCTTGGTGTCAATGGCTTTTTTTTCTTCTTCCATTAGAAGAAATCCCGTAAGAAGATCTGTATCCTGATTCTTGGTCTTGCTGTGGCTTCTCTAATCCTAGGACTTGTTATCTGGCAGGCAACAAAATGAAATTTTCATGTGGAACCTAATCTCATTGCAGAGAGCAATTCTCATTCCCCCAGAGCGAACAGGCTGACTAGTCTCAGAAATGAATTGACCACCTTGAGAGAGCAGAAGCCGGAACTTCTTCTAGTAATAGATATTAGCAACTAATGTGCAGATAACTAGTATATGGAATTAGTGAACCATGGAGACAGTATTTATCAGTTTATATACAAATTACATTGTTTTATGTAACTAAGATCTTGTGGTTTTTTTCCTTCTGTAATGTATTATTCCCTGTCCCAAATGTATACTGAAGTGTGATCAATAATTGGAGATGTCTTGTTTTTTGGCAAGTGGCACAATTTTAACATTTTGTATGTATAGGTAACTTTGGACTGGAATAAGAATGACATTCAAAGAGGGCACAATACAGATTTGCATTACCTTAATCCAGCAGTTTCTAAAGTCTCCAGTGTCTTCCCCATGGTTTAATTAGTCTCCAGGTGGCCATGGTTCTAAACTCTCTTATAGAGAAAGATGCTACTACAGATTTGGAAGGTAGGAAGTAGGCATGGATGACCACAGTTGGAACCACTAGTGTGCTTAGTAACTGGTCAGTTTAGCCATGAGACTTGTAACTGTTCTATTAATGTTTGAGCACAGTTGGTGGTTTGTGGAGTTTAGGGGGGGGGGGAAGGGGCATTGTTTGTTTTCTTCAAATGCAGCATTTGTGAGGACAGAACACCTTTGACTTAGGATAATCTAACGATGCAATTTCCTTAGATAAACTGGCTGGTGGTTTATTATTGGACAAATAAAACTCTTCCAATGCTGACTCTCAAACACTAGAAATACTAAGGTGCACGAAATCCATATTAAGTAGTGGGGGAAAAAGTTTAGCTGTTCACTCCTAATTGCTTTTTAGAAGCTTTTAGGGAGAAAATCATGCAAAGATGAGAAAGTGGGCACCTAAATTTACAAGCTAGCAAGATAGGTGAGTATTACCTGAAATGCTGCTTCTAAAGAAGTACTCTCGAAGCTCGCTTGTAGTGTACCAGTGAATATTACATATTGCTTGTGAACACTTGGTATTTTCCACTGTTTATGAAATAGAAAGTGCAGCACTTGGCTGAGTGAAGTGTTAGGTTTTTAAGACTGTTTGAGGATGTGTGTACAAATGAAAAAGATCTCTAGTTGAATTAATGTCTCGCTAGTAGAGCTAGAGAGAACATAGCAGCCACTCCCCACTCTGATGTAGCTCTGAACTGACATGCACTGAGGGAACAGTAATCTGTCCAAAGCCCATCACAGTGTGGCAAATGCAGCATACTGACCCATTTTTGTATTTAATCCTTATTCCATGTCTCCTGTATAATAAAGTAAATGTGAAAGCTGGGAAGGGAGTGTGTGCTCCCAATTGCACAGTGTTTTGCACTATTGCGCCATCATTCCATCTAATAACTGTCAATAAACACTTTTAAAAGCCTCTGTCATAGTCTTTATTTTCCAATTTGTTTGCAACTGCCTCTCTTTGCAATCAGTGTAGAAGACTTTATATCTGCTTTAGTGGTGTTTCCTCCATTTTAAGTTCAACAGTCCCTGATTTTTCTTAAGCTAACCTAGGTAAAAACATGGAATGACTTCCCTGTGGACATATACAAAACTCCTGTGCAGCAGTCCTGTCCAGTAACTGATCATAGAAAGATGAATCTGGCTTCCTTGAATGTTGATTGGTAAACTTGGACTGTTTGCCTACTGCTGGGACTCAGTCTTTACTGAGTTAAGCTGACTCAAAAGCAAGGGAAATGAGTATGTGTTGTTCTACTCCTCCTGAATGGTGGATCTTGTTGCTTTATGCACTGCCTGCTGCGTGGGGAGTTTCTTTTTGATATTACGCTTTCATATGAAAATAAAAGCCCTTTTTTCACCATTTTTAAAGAGAGCCTGGGTGCATTATTTTTAGGTTCTGTCCTAACCTAAATCAGTTGCAGCTGCCTGAAACTGAAGTAGACAACACAAGTGCTTCCTTGAGTCAGGACTGCTAGAATTACTTGCTTCCTTTCTCTTCCTTTGCTTTGTTGAACTGAGTCTCTGCAGGAGCCCCACTGCTCTTTTTAACAGTGGTCTTAACGAAGATGCGTGAATGTGAAGGATTGCAAGCAGAAACTCTCATCTCCCTTGCTGCAGCACCATGGCACTATGAGAGAACTTTCCTGCCTCAGGGATTGTTTGCTACCACTGTACTAACTACTGAAAATTTATTGCAGGAAGTTTACCTCTCACAATGAGATCCAGGGATGGAATAAGCTTACTTGCCCCTTTTGTAGTGATAGCTATTCCTGCAGTGCTCAGGGGTGTTTGATCGATTTAGTGACAGCTCTTGGGGGAGCTGGGGATTATTGGTGAAAACTAGTTTTTCCCCTTACGGGCTCAATTATCTATACCAGTAAGAAAGTATATCATCAATATTAGCTACCATCTGATTTGTTTTCTACCTAAAATTTATTCAAAAAGCTGAGAAGGATCCTGAAAAAACCTGTCATCTAGCTAGAATGCTTGTAAAAGGAGTCTTAAAAAACTTGTTGCAGAAGCATTGCATTTAGCTTATTTCTCTGCAATTTTGTATACTTGCTAACATTTTCATTGTTTTTATCCACCTCTTCCTTCTCCAAAAGCAGTTAGAGGGAAGGCCCCATGGTAGAAGTAAAAATGTGTTTTAATAGCTAAGGTTATGTAGCGTTTCTCGGTTTCTTTTTGAGGAATTTAATGACATGGATGTAACTTACAGGGCCTTCTTGGTGCCCTGGGGTGCAGGGAGATGAGGCCCGGAAGGAAGAGGGGCAGGAACACTAAGATCGGCAAGCGTCTGTGCTGTCCAAGGCCTAAGGCGCAGCGCAGCGTGTCTCTGTCAGCTGGGCGGGCAGAGGCCGAGGACCGGGCAGTGCGTCCCGGTCGGCTGCGGTCTAACCCGGCAGAGCCGCCCCGGACCGGCCGCCCCTCGCG